AGTTCATACAGAGATGAATACTCAAGACAAATGACTGCATTCTCCTTTGTGGCTGCACGGTTTTATAAAGAGAGGAGAGTTTTCATTTGCTTAAAAAGAAGATAATGGGTGGGTGTGGGCATTGTACAACTATATCAGTTCATCTGTGTTGGAGGAAATCACAGATATGCCACTAACTCTCTCGAAACCTATATAAAAAAAATCTTCATAGATTTAAAATTGACGGAGAGAAATAATGTTTCATTCAGCACGCAAGTCACCACATTTTTTGTTATTTTGCAAAAGATAGTAGCATAAATGGATTCAGAAGAGGATCGTATTAAATTAACGAAGCACAGGTCCATCAATACTGATCAGCTGAGATGCATTAACTGTTAACATGGGGATGCATCTCTGTTCCTAAGGTGTCTCCACTCGCCAGTTCTCTTATTTTCTGGAAACTGAGAGCAACCTACGGGAGGCGCATTGACTTGTAATTGTTTAATGGCTTCTTGAGTGTTGCCAGCCTGACTCCGAAGCTCATGCTGAGAAGCAGCCCTGAGAAAGTGGCTCATCATGGAATTAAGCGCAAGATTGCAGCTTTTCATGCCCCTGCATGATGACCCATATCTGCGCAGTTGCAAAACTACAAAGGCACAGGAGCTATGACTTACTTCGCAGTAACCGTATTTTTCGCTCTATAAGACGCACCAGACCGCAAGACGCACCTAGTTTTTGGAGGAGGGAAACAAGAAAAAAAAATATTCTGAATCTCAGAAGCCAGAACAGCAAGAGGGATCGCTGCGCAGTGAAAGCAGCGATCCCTCTTGCTCTTCTGGCTTCTGGGATAGCTGCGCAGCCTGCATTCGCTCCATAAGACGCACACACATTTCCCCTTACTTTTTAGGAAGGAAAAAATGAGTCTTATAGAGCAAAAAATACGGTACTCTGTATATGGTCCTTTTCTGAGGAATACTATGAGAGTAAAAAAGAAGAGCAAGTTGGTTTGTTTGTTTTTAATCCCTCCATAGATCTCTTATGCGGACCATTGCCCTGGTCCTACCAGCCGCCGCCAGTGTGGTAGAGTGAGAGTGGGAAATATTTGGCATTGTTCACTTAATTAAATACATTTTGATTAGTCATCACTATTAAGAGCACACAGAGTTCCTATTAGTGTTCTTTAGACATAGGCGACATTTTCCCCCGTGGTTCGTTTGGAATATGACGATGAAATGTGATCTAATTTGAACAGTAATTGTTTGCGTTAGATGTTGTACCAGTACGAATTATCTTTTGTGAATAAGAGTACAAAGTGGGGCGGAATCTCTGTGAGCATCTTACGACCTTGGTTCTCTCTAGAACTGAATGTTGTCAGATTTCTGCTGCATAATAAAAAGCATTATAAATGCTTGTTGTACACCCAGTGCCAGGGATGGAAATTTATCTCTTTCCCCATCTCCCCTTTTTTGCACATTGAGATAAGTAGACCAGAGGAATCATCTCATTAGCTACATCAATTCTGCTCCATTATAGAAATACTTTGCATTAAAAACCTGACAGACTAAACATCTTTCCTTCTGCAGTGTTGGATGGCAGGTTGAGAGGAGTTCCCTACCAGGACAGACTTTGCTCGTGTGCTCAAGACATCGATTCCATAAAACATATTTTGTTGCACTGTGCAAAATATGAGCAAGCCAGGGCTGAACTGATATTACATTTGCTGGTACCTTTCCCGGGAAAATCAGAGGCTCACTATGTCAGGTTCCTATTGGAAGACCGGACAAATGCTAGAACATTAGCAGTGGCCAAGTTTTTATCGGTGGTTGCAAGAACCAGTGATCCCTATATTCTGAACGAAATGCTTGTTTAACCTGGAGGTAGGCTGTATGAATTGTGTATTGCTTTGTAACGATTTGTTGGGTCTCTGGACCGAAATAAAGGTTGTTGATGATGAAATACTTTGCACCAGGGCTTTTTTCCAGCCGGAACTCACCAAAACTCAGTTCTGGCACCTCTCAGGTGGGTGCCATTGCCATTCTAAGAGAACAAGGGAGGTGTTCATTCTGAGTTCCGGCACCTCTTTTTTCTAGAAAAACAGCACCTCTTTGCACACAGATAAAGAACTGTGGCCTTTCTTGACTGGCACAGAGGAAAAAAGGAAGTAAAAATGGGAAGATAAATAAAGTGATACCCATATTAACTTTCCATCACTCTGAGAGGCACGGTATACATTGCACAGAATAAAGGTGCCTCTCGTTCCAGTCCTGGTTGCTCCTGCTATTAAGGTGGGATGCATTTTATAAACAAACAAACAAATACATTTACTGGTGTTTGTGGATGTGGGCCTTTGCTCTGGCATACAGTACTGTCGTTGTCACACTGCAGAAAGCAAAAGTTATTTCTATATTATTAACAGACGTGAGAACGTAGTATATCTAAAGCTACGTCAGGAAATAATAATGAGAAATTTCTAGGATGCTGTCTTTCAGAAGTTGTTGTGATTGCTTTTACGTTTGCTGAGGACCTTATGTAAGACTCCCCCATTTCCCTCCCCGATACACCCCAGACTGGCGTAGCACAGTGGCTAAAAAACAGAGCTACAAATCAGGAAGTCCCTGAATCTTTCATCTGACATGATTTTACTATGTAGCCTTAAGCAAGCCGCTCTTTCAGACTACCCTCTGCCCCTCCCCACCTGATGAACCAGTGTGGTGCAGTGGTTAGAGCATGGGTAGGCAAACTAAGGCCCGGGGGCCAGATCTGGCCCAATCGCCTTCTAAATCCAGCCTGCGGACAGTCCAGGAATCAGCGTGTTTTTATATGAGTAGAATGTGTCCTTTTATTTAAAATGCATCTCTGGATTATTTTGGGGGCATAGGAATTTGTTCATTCCTCCCCCCCAAAAAAAAATATAGTCTGGCTCCCCACAAGGTCTGAGGGACAGTGGACCGGCTCCCTGATGAAAACGTTTGCTGACCCCTGGGTTAGAGTCTTGGACTAAGACCTGGGAGATCAGAGTTCAGATCCCCACTTGATTTACCTTGGAACCTGTGCCTGCACTAAATCAAGTGACAAGGCTATTTGTTTGTTTATTTATTTATTTATGTTGCGGGTGGCGCTGTGGTCTAAACCACTGAGCCTAGGGCTTGCCGATCGGAAGGTCGGCGGTTCGAATCCCCGCGACGGGGTGAGCTCCCATTGCTCGGTCCCTGCTCCTGCCAACCTAGCAGTTCGAAAGCACATCAAAGTGCAAGTAGATAAATAGGTTTCGCTCCGGCGGGAAGGTAAGCAGCGTTTCTGTGTGCTGCTCTGGTTTCGCCAGAAGCGGCTTAGTCATGCTGGCCACATGGCCTGGAAAAACTGTCTGCGGACATAACGTCAGCTCCCTCAGCCAGTAAAGCAAGATGAGCGCTGCAACCCCAGAGTTGTTCACAACTGGACTTAACTGTCAGGGGTCCTTTACCTTTTTAAGGTTACATTATGATCTGAGTTTAGCAGCCAGTGGCTCTTTTGTTAGGAAAAGTTAACAGCTATGGTCCTACGAGGGGCTTAAGCCCTTAAGTACAACCAAACCCTAAGCACTGTCATTATACTCTGTCGCTACTCTGGTTAGCTTTGAATCTGGAGCAGAATGCTGCTTCACTAGCCCTGGCTAGTTCAAACATTCATGTCTGTCCTTTGATGTCTACAGCACTGGGTGATGGTCCCCTTGCACAGAAGAGTAGTAGAGCTAACACTTCCGACAGAACTTCAATGTCTTCCTCACATTCAGTGCTTCCCAATGGAGGCAGTTCACACATCCAGCTGCCATCCATCAAGTGTTGAACCACCAACCAAAGGATGAGAAACCCAGTGAGATAATACATGTATGGACTAGTTTCTCCCAAAATTCACATTTAAGGAGGTGGCTTTCAGTAGCAATGACCCCACACTAGAATACTTTGCATTATGAAGAATGGAAGATACAACTTTGTAATTACTCAGTAGCTATGACTTGGATCTCAGGTGTTTTCTCTGTGTATGTAAAAGGGTGGTGCTTGGCAATGCCCCCCTGCCAATATATACCCACACCAGCAGCTGTTGGCAGGGTGGCGTTCTCTGGATGTCACAGCTCCTTCATTGCAAGGAGGGGTGAGGCAGTGGCGAGGTCAGTGTGGTGCAAACACACTGGCAGGAGTGCATGGTTAGTGCTTTTGCACTATGCTGACTTTGCTGCTGTAACACACACACACACACACACACACACACACACACCTCCCTGTATGCAGCAGTAACAAAGGTGGCAGGCAGTCAGGTGAGCACTTCTGCCTTCCCCTGCTGACTGCTCCTGCTCCTGCCCCAAGTCTGTGTGTTTTCAGTTCTGCTTCCTGTATGTGGAGTTTGTTGACTTCTTCCTTATTTAACACAGGCGCAAACTTAATTGGCTGGAGCATGCACCAAAAAAAAAAAAAATGTGCACAGTTATTCACACCCAAGTACATTTCCTGTGCCTATGGGTTATATATTGGATGGGTCTGCCTATATTGAGGCTTTCAGCTTAAGTATGTGCAATCTACACCTTTCTTTTCTCTGTTTCCTTGCCTGCAATGGAATTGATAAAATAATTGACTCCCTGTGTGTATATGTGACCTTTAAGTTAATTGCTTGTCAGCCCTGCAAGAATGCAACATTTATTTATATAGATAGTGCCTGCGATTTGGGTGGGGGGTGGGCAGTTGATCTATCTATCTTTGCAATGATAGACTTGGCTTTGGGCAGCTATTCAGCATAAAAAGACCAATGGTCTTCGCCAGCAGTTGCCCCTATATCATCATTATTGCCTAGCTGCTCTAGCACAGCCTTACACAAGTGCCAGGTTTCTTTATAAAATGGGTTCTGTAAGTGTAATTCTCTTTAGTTCATCAAGGTCTCTGATTTCTGATTTCTTTAATAAGAAAAGTCCAGATTAGATAGTTGATCTCATTGTCATTTAGAGTGAACTGTAGCTTTATAAGGTTGTCTATTTACTTTATTTAGGGTCAAGTTATGTTCAGAAATGGAGAGAGGATGGGAACAATCAAATTTACACAGTTCCAAGGTAGGTGACAGATATTTATTTATCCATTTGCATTTACATTATTACGGTTTGTAAAGCATGCGAATATGAGATGCATTTGTCCTAATAGCCACTTTGCACTGTATAGTAGGTTGAAAGGAAATTAACTGAATATGTGGTAATAAAACGTGGCAGAATGCCCAGAAATAATGGGTTCTCCTTTTTGTCCGTGGGGTGGGGGAATGCATTGTGTGAAAAACTCTCCACTTTGAGTCTGGCCTTCTTTGCTTACAAAAATACATGGCATCCTACATGTGATCTGGCATACAGATTGGAGAAGTGTGCTGAAAATGTATTTTATAGAAATAACATGTGCTAACCTCTTGTCCCGCCTGGAAAGTGAGACGTATTTAGAACTTAGAAAATGAGAACAGCTGTTCTAATAAGACAATTTCTACTGGCTTACTTTCCTTAAAGAAATAAAAAATACCTAATCATTGATAAGGAGTTACAACAGTGCAGTGACTTGGGTTAGTTCCAGGCGTACAGCTTAACTCCTCCCTTGTACAGAGGGTTTTCATGTTCCAGACTTGATCAGCCAGCTTCCTCATGTCTTCCCTATTAAGCTATATATTCCTTGAAACATTTCATAACATTTGGATTACTGGGGGGGAAAACCAAACTTTTTTTGTTACATTCTCACAACATGTTTAAAATATTGTACTGAAGGGTTTTTTATGATCAGATCATTAGGGCTGTCAGTTGATTACATAACCTTTAGTTGCCTGAGAATACAATCCTATGCATGGTTCCTTAAAACTAGATCAAACTAATTTGCACTCTCTCTCTCTCTCATACACACTTCCCTCTGAAATAAAATATCAAAGGCCAAACAAAACAAAATTTAGACCCATTGCAATTGGGCTTCAATTGGGATGTGGAACTAAGTGCTTGTCCTCACTTCTGTCTGGAAGCATGGGTCTGAGGGGTTTTCCCCTTTCCTGCTCCTTTCCCGCTGTTTAGCGACAGATAGGAACAAATGGCAACCTGGAGAAAACCTGAATTGCTGTCTCCTCTGATTAAGCACCAAAGAATGGTTTTCCCCAGGGGGAAGCAGCAGGCAAGACGAAGTATGGATAACCCCTGAGAGTGTTTTGATGCAGGGAGTGTGGCTCTACTAGTTCTCTTGGAGTTCTCGGTGGTTTTCAGTACCATCTACCATGGTTTTCTTCTTGATATCCTGGCTGGGTTGGGCCTTGTGGAAATTGTATTTCGGGGGATCTGGTCTTGTATGTTGGACTGTGTCCAGAAAGTGGTTCTGAGTTCTGCTGTTTGACACCAGAGGCTTGGCTTGTGGTATGCAACAGGGTTCTGTCCTGTCCCCAGTGCTGTTTAACATCCACACAATATATACTGGGAGATGGCATTCAGACTTTTGGAGTTAAGAGCTGCCAGTATGCTGATAACGTTTGGCTCCATTGCCCCTTGTGCAAAGATAAAAGTTGATACCCTTGAATGTTGTTAGGTGGACTGGATGAGAGTGAATAAGATGAGAATAAATCCAGGTTTGGTGTTGTCTTGGGAACTGAGATTCAGCATGTTCTGGAAGTGGCTGCATTGCCCCGGAAATAAATGAAATCGCTTAGGTGTGTTTGTTGATCCTGTGTTGTCCCTGGATTCTCAGGTTGTGGCAGTGGCAAGGTGTGTTTCTGCAGTTACATTTGGTGCACCAGCTTTGACCTTTCCCAAGTCAATCTTCTCCATGTTACCCACAACACAGGGCTACCCTTGAGGAGCAACCACAAGCTTCAGTTGGTGCAAAATGCAACAGCTGGGCTGCTAACCAGTGCATGATATCAGGGTAATGCATCGCTGATCCTGAAAGATCCCTGTTTTCCCCTCTCTGCTCAGTTCAAAGATCTCATATGAGGAGCAGGTCTAAGAGGAGGATCAGTCAGGAAGCAAAACATCTAGTATACATATAATCTTCAGTCAGAAGCAATTGTTTTCAAATCTATTGACTGCCCCTCTTTCATGGAAATCTGCAGTTGTGCTCATGGCATCCCCGTGAATTTCTGCTGCACTTGCTGTTCCCTGGATCATGGCCAAAGGCTATGATTTAATTGAGTCCCACATCACAGTCTGCACTTCTCAGCTATCAGAAAATGGAAATACTTGCACTCACAGATCCACCATGTCTTTTAGAGGTGACAATGGTATATAATTGCATGCACGCTTCATTGTTAAGTTTGTGGTTGGTTAGAGGTTACTGTATTTTACTTAGGCCTTTCTGACATCAGTAGGCTTTGCAAATTCCTTTATTTTTTTAATGATGGCAATTTGAAAATCCTTCTTTGCTGGAATGTCAATGGCTTGGCTGGGGTGGAGGGAATTTCATATGGCAAGTGCCTGGTAGGAACAATTTTAAGTACTGTACTTGCTTCCTGCCATTGTATCTCTGCTACCTATTATCTGTTTCTAGTGGGACTTTGTCACAAAGATGTGGTTGTTGCAGTTCCATTGCAATTTCACGTGTAACAAAATGTATAGTTCAGCTTTTGCTTTCTAAAGGAAATCTTTTGAAAAAGCTTGCATTGTTTGAAATCTTTGGAGCTCACTTAGCTTCTTTGCAAGTATATCCACCATGTTAAAATCTGCACCAAGACGTTCATTCCTCCCTCTTTTTACATCGCTAACAATTTCTTCCTTGAAGCTTTTTTTTTTAAGCCAGTTTTCCTTCTGGGCCTACAGCCAAGTTGATAGGGATGTATGAAAATATTGTGAATGGGCTTTGATTAGTGCTAGTTAAAACCCAAAAGATTTGGAAGAGTTTTATGTAGATTCTGCCTGGAGGAAATTGAGTACTATTTCTGTGCATGGAAAATAATTAGGTAGAAAGGATGGGTGACTGTTTCACACGTACATGAATATGCACTTGCTTTCTTTACAAGTGACTGGCAGCTTGGTATGTGAAGCCACTCCATTTAAAAACAATGTCATTGAGGTGAAATGGAAGTTCATTTTGCAGTGCTAAATCAGTGATAGCCATTGCCCGAAGACACCGCTCATCATTGTGAACTAGCCCTTAATTGCTCCATCTTTTTCACTAGCTCTAGGTATATGTAGTTTGCAGATCAGGAAAAAAAGCATGAGTCGTTATTCAGATGATTTGGAGAAACTTGATTTTATTCCAGTGGACACTCGGGTTGCGAATGTGATCTGTGCGGGATGCACGTTTGCAACCCGCAGCGCCGCGTCTGCACATGCGCAAGTTGCAATTCAGTGCTTCTTTGCATGTGCAAAGCACGATTTAGCGCTTCTGCACATGCGCGAAACCCGGAAGTAACCCGTCCCGGTACTTCTGGGTTTTGGCAGGTCCGTAACCCGAAAAAACGCAACCTGAAGTGTCTGTAACCCGTGGTATGACTGTAATCGAAAAATTTGTACAGACATGATATAGCTTGCTCTTGTTAGTTATTTTCTCCTTTTTACATCTCTCATTGCTTCCCTACAATAAATGCCTCCAAGGGTTTCTAGTGCACTCTCTGGCTCAAATACTATGCTGGGTTTTGGTTTTTTTTTCTTTAGCAAGTTGGAAAGCAGGAGAAAAATCTGTTCATTTCCCTGAGTTCTTCCATCATTACATATTGATCACAATCCAGCACAAAGTTAGAAATGCATAAGCTCTTTGAAATAAATTGAATTAAGTGTTCATTTGTGCTAGATGGTGGCTAATGTACTAAAGCTCACTCCAGTCTGTGCCTTCACAATGTAAGTACAATATACTGCCTTTACTACATTATAATAAATATATAGGACAAAAGCCAAAAGACATATATATAAAATAATATAATATAATTTATTATTTATACCCCGCCCATCTGGCTGGGTTTCCCCAGCCACTCTGGGCGGCTTCCATAAAGACCAAAAATACACTAAGATGTCACACATTAAAAACTTCCCTGAACAGGGCTGCCTTAAGATATCTTCTGAATGTCAGGTAGTTGTTTATCTCTTTGACATCTGATGGGAGGGCATTCCACAGGGCGGGCACCACTACCGAGAAGGCCCTCTGCCTGGTTCCCTGTAGCTTTGCTTCTCGCAGCGAGGGAACCTCCAGAAGGCCTTCGGCACTGGACCTCAGAGTCCGGGCAGAATGATAGGGGTGGAGACGCTCCTTCAGGAACCCACTCCCACTGCCCACTGATTTGAATAGGGCTTTTAGCATGCTTAACTTTCTCTGCACTTTCCTTCAGACTTCATGTCTTGTGAAAACTCTTTCTGTATTGTGCTACCTGCAGAAGGCATGGCTGCCATGGAACCCTCCAAGTTGCAAAGCATTCTGGAAGTTGTTATTTATTAAGTTTATATACCTCCCTTCATCCAAGCATCACAGGGTGGTTTACAGTATAAAAACACATAAATACATAACATAATAACAAACAACACACACACACACACACACACACACACACACACAGCTTAAGGCCACAAATTGTTTAATTAGCCATAGGCCTGGGAGAAGAGGAATGCTTTTGCCTGGCTGGGGAGAGCATTCCACAAATGGGGAGCCACCGCAGAAAATGCCTGTTTGTATGTTGCCACCCTCTGGGCTTCTCGTGGAGGGGGCACACAAAGAAGGGCCTCAGATGATGACATCTGGGTCTATTCATATGGGGAGAGGTGGTCCTTGAGATATTGCAGTCTATACAGTGGTGCCCTGCAAGACGAATGCCTCACAAGACGAAAAACCCGCTAGACGAAAGGGTTTTCCGTTTTTTGAGTCGTTCTGCAAGACGAATTTCCCTATGGGCTTGCTTCGCAAGATGAAACGTCTTGCGAGTTCTTGCGAGTTTGTTTCCTTTTTCTTAAAGCCGCTAAGCCGTTAATAGCCGCTAAGCCGTTAATAATGCTAAGCCGCTAATAGCCGTGCTTCGCAAGATGAAAAAACCGCAAGACGAAGAGACTCACGGAACGGATTAATTTCGTCTTGCGAGGCACCACTGTATTGAGTTATATAGAATACAGTCACAGTTGACCCT